TGATTTCTCCTCACTTTCAAACAGCCAGCTCTTTTTGAACCCCATTTTTGCTGGCAGAAATAAATCAGCCCTAGTCAATTCAAAGGCAAAAGTCAGTATATCATTATGCTCTCACAAAATACTGAAAACAGGGAAGTTGCTGCTCAGCTTAATACTGAGGGCTTATAAACACAAAGACAAATAGGGTTTTCCTGGTATCTTGCACCTGGACAAAGTAATGCAAAGGAATACTACTTAGCCTTTCACCATTCCCACCAACTCCTTTACCTAAATTAGTTGTTCTGAGCAAAGAAATCACACTATAAATATAATTAGTTACTTGGAACCTGATCTAAAGCCTAATGAAATCAGCATAAAGCTTACAGAGAGAATGAGCTATAAAGAAAATATTAGTTTGATTGCTGTGGGCAAAACTACTTTCAGATCTAAGCAGAGGATTTAGCTATTTTATTCTGCAAGCAATGAGAAAATATCTTCTTGATTCTAAATCTAAAATAAGAGATCTAATTAATTCTAGAGCACCACAATCATCTACATTACTTCTTAGTATGCAGAAATCTAATAGTTTCTTCTTTAAACAGCAATATTTAAAAATGCGTTTAATTTAAATGGCTGTGGTTCCTCTCTTCAGTAAACACATGTGAAGGCATACATTGTGTTTAAATATAATAAATACAGCTAAAATCATGCATCTGGGTCAATCCTCTGCATGTAATCAGGATTATGAAAATTTAGTTTTTCTTATCTTTCTCAATAAATGGTCTATGTACAGACGACTGGAAATTTATTCAGACATGGTCTTGGTTGTGTTCTTGTTTTTTAACTCACCAGTTCTTTCTTCCCTGCAAATCTGACTGATTTCAAATTCTATCAGTTGCTCTGGTAGCCAAGGAAAGTGCCAAACTGTGGTTGCTGATTTCTAAGCTGTGCTGACGTTCTTTCAGAGACAAAATTCCCATGCCGAGGCATTGTAATTGCAAGTTTCGTGCCCATTTTAAGGACTCACTCTTTTGGTTCTGATTGCTGACCACATGTAATTATAAAGGAAAGGGAACAGAGGACCTCGAGAAGGCAAAATCCAAATAGATACAAAAGGGGGAAAGGCGACAGGAGAAGGTTTTCATTTAGTTTACACCTTCTCCAAGATTTCCCTGTCCTGAGCCTCCCAGCTCTCTGAATGAGGTTCCTTCAGCCCCACTTGTCAAAGCCCTCCTTCATCCACTGCCTTGCCCACAGCTCCTCTCAGGCATTCCCCAGAGGCAACCCAAAGAGAGAGGGCACATCCAGGGGGAGATCCTGAAATCCAGTTCTTCTGAAAAATCTGACAAATGGAAGGAGGCCCATCAGCCTGATGGCTCTGTACATGTGTGGTGGGAAAGAAATTGTCAGAGGCATAGGGGAATCCCTTTTGTTTCAAAAGTGCTTCTTCAAAGAAACAGACATCCCCATCTCTCTTTGAGGAAGGCACTGTGTGGGAGGCTCTGTGGGGCCTCCTACAATGCCATGACTGAGAAGCCTGTCTTTAACTGGAGCTTCACTGAAAATGCACAGTCCAGATAAAATGCAAAGGCACAAAGAGTAAATAAAGAAGTAGTCAATGCTAAGCAAAGTGTGGGCCGAGGAATTCTGCCTCCTAAGGAGGTGACAGTCAAATGAAGCTGGCTCATCATGTGTGTCAAAAGCAGCATCAGACAGGTAAATAGCAATTCTACACTTCCCTCCTACTCTAAAATTCCACCCTTAAAACGCAGGGTATTTTAGGAAGCTTCCTGCTGACAGGCACATCCTGCCCAGAATTACATTTTAATAGTTCTTCTTTTAGACAAACATTTAATCTATACTTATACAGTCAACATGCTATTCCCATGCAGTCCCTCGGGAGGAGCAAAACATGCAAAACACACAAAGGGTGGTAATGAAAAGAAATAATCATTCTGCGCTCATTGATGAGTTTGCAGATAATGGAGTAGAATATTTACTATGGTTCTATTTTCTCTGGAGGGCAACTTTTTATCTCTTAGATAACTCTGTAGACACTGGCAGGAAACAGTAGCCATTTTCAGTCCAGTGCAGTGGAGGCTGGCACACCATCTGGAATGAATACGTGACATCCAGCACTCCTGGATCTTGGTATTTTGGACAAAAATCCACAAAGTGTTCCAGGACTATTCTCCAAGTAAAGAAGAACTTCCATACAAACTGAGATTTTTTTGAACTAGCAATAACATCACTTTATCACATTAAAGCTAATTTTACACAGATAAGGTCATAGGTTTTACTGGCTTTCTGCAGCCACCTCAGGACGTGGCAACATGATGCTTCTTGAAGGACCAGGGCTCAAGGCTCAATGATATTTTCATCTTGCCAAAGCCAAAAAGTATCACCTATCTAGTGTGTGGGGGGGGAATCACACTAGAAACTAAGTAAGTTGAATACTGCATTGCAAACAGCAACACTGAGGGCTCTGAAGTAAATCCTGTGTATCACCAGCAGTTTATAAAACGTGAGATCTTAAAAAGTAATCTTCTCAGGTTTTTTTCTATTTGCCTTCAGTTTTTTGTCAGATTTAGATATAGGAAACAAAACATTGGCACACTAGTCAAGGAAAATGCTCCATTTAAGTGTTTGCTAACAGTATCCAGATGAGAAGAGGCATGGCCAGGTCCCCAGAGGGAATTACAGTCGCTGCCAGCCTTGCTGGAGGAACAGCAATGACCACTGCTGGTTACACGAACAACAGGCATACTGTGACACACTGGCTTGACTCAATAACACAGCTCCTGAAACCTTCATTCTGTCAAAACAAAATTCCTCAGTCCTTTAGCTCCCACTCCACAAGTGGTAAACTGGCCCAGCATCTTCCTCCTTTTTCCACTAAAGGCAATATGTCTTGAAATAAACATTGGCTGTCTCTTAAAACCCAATAAATTAAATTGTCTTTCCTGAGCCAGCAGCAGGAGTAATGGAAAACGTTTCTCAGAACTAGTTTGTTTGATTTCTAAGAAAGTGTTTGACCTAAAGATCTGTTTTAGCAAATCGGTATGACTTATGGATAACTGATAAGCAAAAACCAGCTATGCAGCTACTCGTCACAAGGCAAACATTTTATGCAAAATTAAAAATTATACACAAACCGATCAGGAATACAGTTTAAACAAACAAATGAAAACCTGCAGTTTCACCACTGATGATGAAAAAGTTAGTAAAATGGCTAGAAATAACAGCTTGGCAGTATGCAATTTAACAGTCAGTGTATCTAAAATCTCATCCTACATAATATTTAGCAAGATCATCAACATTTGCCTCTGGATTAATGCAGTATGGAAAAGGATAATCAGCCAGCTAAGTGTGTAAGATCTGACGTACAGATGCAAGAGAATAAGTAAATTGTGATACATTAACTCAGTATAACTTCATTAACAACCAAGCAACCAAGTTTTGTGCTCGATGTAAAGACCTCTGGCAGATTTTTCCTATCATGGCACTACTGGCAAGAGAGAGGAAAAGGCCAGGCAGCACCAGGCTAAGGGTTAGAGAAGGGCTTGTCATTGTGAAGAGGAACAGTGACCAAGTGGGATGGTCAAGAGGGGGGCTATACTCTTACAGATAAATGTTACTTCATGAGTGCGTGTCCATGAGCTAAAAGGAAGGAAAACACAATGGTTGGGCACAATAGAACAATTCCATTTTATCTCAGTCTGAGTGTAAGTACTGATAGTAAAGTGTCAAATATCCTTTCTCCTTCACCCATGCTGATCTATCCCTTCAAAAATTGACACAGGACAACTTTACCTATCTCCTATTCAATCAGTGGGCTCCGGATCAAAACCCCTCTGGACTACATGGGATCTGGCTTGGTGATGTATAATTAAACCAAGTGATAGATAAATTCTTGCAAATGCAAACAGGAACTAGCGAGGTGTCTTTGGGAAGCTCCTCACCAGAAGAGACTATCTTGTCTAACCACATATGTTAGAAGGAAAACTCCCCCCAGCGCTCCTGTGTTGCAGAGCTAGTCCCTACAGCCCAGGGATAGCTGAGAGCTATGGCATATCAGGCCGTGGGGGCTCCCCCAGAGACCCACAGACGCCACTCACATCTGAGGATTGCAGCTACAAAGGGAAATACGGACTTTCTCTACTTGCTGCTAATTAGCTTTTTTACTTCTTTTTTTCTGGGTGTCTCATCTTCAGCCCTGCCTTCTATCCTTTTCTCTCTTCCTTTTTTTTCCTGCCCTCTTTCCCCTTTCAGCCTATTATTACCATGCTCCTGTGAACTCGTGCCATCCTTTCCTGAGAAAGGTACACACAGTCCGTTTACTGCATTTTTCTTCTCTAGTCTTCACAAAACACAAAGTTGTGTGGATGGGAGTGACCACGACATTCACTAAGTTCACTGTCTAACAGCTCATTTGCTTTGCTGGTCTCTCTCAAGACATTTTGAATAATTAATCACAGAATCATTATGGACGGAAAAGATCATTGAGTCCAACCATTAACCTAACACTGCCAGGTCCACTACTGAACCACATCCCTAAGCACCACATCTACAAGTTCTTTGAGTACTTCCAAGGACTGTTATTCCATCACTGCCCTGGGCAGCCTGTTCCAATGCTTGACGGCCCTTTTGGTGAAGAAATTTTTCCTGTCTAGTCTAAACCTTCCCTTGTGCAACTCGAGGATGTTTTGTCTTCTCCTTTTGCTTGTTACCTGGGATAATTAACACTACTGTGCTGTTAGCATATACATGGCAATTTTGGCATCACTGCCATTATCACCTGTTTCCATATACTGCAATTCCTGCAATGAAGAGCCACGAGGAGCCCTGGCACTTTTACTGCTTTGTGACTGTGCTGGGGGGACTTTTCCCCACAGAAACCCTGCTCTCCCCTCAGCGTGACCCTTGGCGTCTGTCCCTTAAGCCTCTATCTAGAGCTTTTAAAGTGTTTGTTGATCTCCCGTGGGATAGAAAGCTTTAGTTACAAAGCCTTTTTTTATTACCTCACATTTTGCTATATTCCCATCTACAAGCATCCTCTGGAAGAAAGGGCTATCACAAGAACTTGAACTAAGAGGAAAATACCAAGAATTTAGGCGAGATCTGAGAAAGATAGTACTCTCGTTGAAGCATTTCAATTAAAGTGCTGGTCTTCATGCCAGTTTTAAAGCTCCTGTGTGGCAGTGGCTCTGGCTGCAGAGCTCTAGAGGTCACAGACTGACAGTCCTTGACAAGTACATCAGGTAGGTTCTGGTGCTCAGGTACAACTACATACCAACTTTACATGCCAGTTTCAGCCTGATGTTGGCTTACATCCATTATTTTGAATCACATCCACCTGATATTTATCAAAGATCCGGGAATACCAACTTGACACTGTACAGAATATGACGTAACTTGCACATAACTATTTCTTACTCTTTGAGAGCAACGTCACCTAATCCTAGGCAGGGTGTTGAGGTCACTTGGCATGTTCTGCCCGGAGGAGTCTGAGGGGAAACCTCACTGCGGTCTTCAACATCCTCACAAGGGGAAGTGGAGCAGCCGGCTCCACTGATCTCTTCGCTCTGGTTACCACCGACAGGACCCGAGGAAACGGCAAGAAGCTGAGTCGGGGGATGTTTAGGTTGGATATTAGGAAAAGGTTCTTCCCCCTGAGGGTGGTTGGGCGCTGGAACAGGCTCCCCAGGGCAGCGGTCTGACAGAGCTCAAGAAGCGTTTGGACAACGCTCTCAGACACAGGGCGTGACTCTTGGGGTGTCCTGCGGAGGGCCAGGAGGGGGATCCTCGTGGGTCCGTCCCAACTCAGGATATTCTAAGATTTCCAAAGTAACCCTTTTCTTTTTTTTTTTTTTTTTTTGTCTCCTCCTCTTTGGGGGCTAACTTTTCCGAGAAGCAGGGAAGAAGACGGCTTCCCCTTTGTCCGCCTCTCCCCTCGGCGCGCGCGGCGCCCGTTGCCCCGGCGACGCAAGTCTCGCGAGGCGCGGCGCGGCTCTCGCGGGCGGAAGCGGCCGCCCGTGTTTACAAGGCAGCCGCGCCGGGGCCGGGCCGCGCCGGGGCCGGGCCGCGGCAGCGCCCAGCGCCCCCCGCCCATGTGCCCGCAGCCCCCGCCGCCCATGGAAGTGATGGAGGGGCCCCTCAACCTGGTGAGCGCAGGGCCGGGGGGGGGAGCGGAGCCGGGCAGCGGGGAGAGCGAGACACCGCTCCGCGTAACCGGGAGAGGAGGCGCGACCTGAGCGGACAGCGGGACTCTGGTCACCTGCCTGTCGCCCCCAACCACCCGTTCAGGGCCCCGTGAGGCCGTGCCGGGCGGGAGCGGGGCCCAGCGCCGCGCCGGGGATGGGGGGCTCGCCCCGGTGCGGCGGGACAGCGCTGCTCCGGGCCCTGGAGGGAGAACGGCGCAGGGAGCGAGTTGCGACATGTTTACATTGCCGGGTGATCCCTCTGTAAACCCGAGGGATAGGGGAAGTTCTGGGAGGCAAGTTCGGGAAGGAAGTGCCTAGAGGAAGCGTTTAGATAGCACAGGCCATAACCATGGCAGTTTAGAGAGTTTATCAGGACCCAGTGTTTCTTCTAACTTCAGAAGGCGAAACGCGTTAAAACCTGAAATCAGGACGCGCCCCGCTCCGCCCCCCCCGGCTTAGACTAAGTCGCTAAGGAACTGGAGCTGAAACACAGATGGTCTGAAAAATGCAGCTTCACAAAAGCTAGTCAAATGTTAAACAGCCTAAATTGGCAGGTCCCTGTCCGATAGACACAATCTAGAAGAGTTAATTCCCTGCTGCCTTATGGGTTTTATCAAAGCTGTGCCTTGACTGTGGTGATGCAGTGTTCCCTTAGAAAACAAGCTTTGGTCCAGCAGTCCAGTGAGCCAGGGGCAGCACACCAGGAATACATCAGTGGTGCTTCCAGGAATGAGTTTGATCCAGAAATTGTTCAGACATTGCCATGTGAACCTCAGGGACTTGTGTCAGTTCAGTTTTTAATCAAAGCTTATTTGCTCCAGCAGAGTGTCAACCCTGGCAAACCCTTGCCTGCTCCATGCGGAGCCAGTCAGGTATTCCTGGATCACCCTCTCTGATTCAGGAAGGCTTTTAGAACTGTCACTGCTGACCATCCATGGAATTAGGAAGATGGTGAGTTTAGATCCAAATCAATGGTGCAGAACCTCTCTGGGTATGTCAGCATCACACTGTCTCAGACTTTTCACTCTATGCTGAAACACTAATTGAAATAAGGAACAGCAAGAAGTAGAAAAGCTCTTCTAACTTGTTGATATGATGGGCTTAAAGTCTGGCAAACAGGCAGCACAGTAATGCAGAAATGATAAACTGTAGCTAAGTTCACAGACACTGTGAAAACTTTTTTAAAAGTAGATCTAGTGCGTAAAACTCTAAGGACAAAACAAATGTTGTATATTCACTGGTAAATGTCTGTAAGCAGCAGCTTTTTGGCAGAGGAGATGTCACTAGTCAGTAGTGTTTCAGTAAGAGACCACTTAAAAGGACTGTAGGAGTGACAAGACTGTGACAAAAGCCTGGCTGATGATCTTGTGACCACAACAGCAGTGTGCAGGTACCACACCTGGGTAGCATCAGGCTGACAACAAGGTCAAGGCACTTCTGCATGAAGAGATAATACATGAAAAAAGGTACTTGACATACTTTCGTACAGAAAATTATGAAATTGCCTGCAAATATGCTCCTACTGCCTTAGAGTGGCCTGAAATAAAAACACTTTTTTTTTTTAAAATGCTGCACAATATTCAGGGAAGGAGCCAACCTCCAGTAAAAGAACATCCATTTAAGATGTTTATAATATCCAATGTGATCTATTTCACTTGCTTCTCCTATAAATATCTTCTCTTACCTAAGTCTAGTTCCTGTCGACTGGAAAAGCACAACTTTTTCCAAAGATGACAAAGGGGAAAATAAAGCTACCAAAACAACAACAAAAAAACCCCAAAACAACAAACCAAACCAAACCCACCAAATCACCCAACACCTAAACTACAAAGCGGTTTTTGATACAGTAATCATTAGACTTAACTGCTATTGATGACTTGAGTACAAGACATTTCCCTTTCAGTCTATCGTGGCTTTTTCACAAAATTGATTTTTCTTCAGTTAAGGCATTTCATCATAATTTACTACAGTATTTGGATATTGCTTTGTCCTGTGAACCTCGTTTATTAGTTGTGGATTGGAGCATCTAGTCTTTTTGGAAAGCGTGGATACTGTCCTGATTTTCTGGGCAGCTGATCTGACTTAAAAAAAAAAAAAAAATCCCTTACAGGTGGCATGCCATAGCTTGTTGTGTTCCACTGGTTTCAATTATGTTCTTTTTCTACCTTCTGACAGATAGATTTCCCTCAAAATAATGTTTTGTCTTCATGGAACTGGGCTTAATGCCTTAAACTATTTCTTTCTTACGTTTGCTATATTTTGGTTTCCCCAATTCACCGATTTAGTTCTGTAGATGGCACTAGACAACACAGATTTGCTTTCCAGATATGCTGAATATATATATATACACACACACATATACATATGTACATAACACTACAATGTTTTTTGTTCAATGGAAGTTTTAATTACTGACCTTCAGGTCTAATAACTTCAATGAGAAATGGATCCATCTTTTCAGAATTTGACCTTATTTAGCTCATTTACATACGAATTTAGTTCTTCAGACTTTTTTTTTCTATTTTAAAGTTACTAACTTTTTGTATTCCTTCTGTGCCATTGTTGCATGGTTAGCAAATGATCATGCTGAGTCTAACCCCAACTTTCCTTCTTTTAACCTTTCTAGGACTTGTGCTACAGTACTAACTGCTGATTTGATTTTTCCACTGAGCTGTCCTCAAGGTATTTGTTGTACCCAGTGATCCTTCCTTTAGGAATAACTGAAATAACTTTTCCAAGATCTGTTGCCATTGTCTGATTTGACAGAGCCATTGGAAAGCGTTTTTGTAGAATCATTAAGATTGGAGAAGAACTCTAGGATCCAAGTCCAGCCATTAATCCAGCACTGCTAATGGACCACTGAACCATGTCTCTAAGCAGTGATCTCATCTTGAAAGAAAGGGTTAAAGCCCTCATCCTTATGCTTTTACTAGTAAGGAAGCCACTTCTTAAACCCTACAAATAAAACATTTAGGTTATGCCGTGGAACTTAAAACCAGTATGAAGTGCAGTTTCTGCACCTGCAGACAACCGTGTAACAGGTTTCTAGCCCGGCTGATTACTTATTTCACACATAACCCAGTGTCAAAAACTTAAGGCATATCAACATTCTTCTACAGATTAAAACTTTTACTGCAAAAGCACAAAGATAAGTCTCTCATGAACACTGCAAGTTCTCGCAGAGCATCTCAAGAGCTTCTTGGTGATATTTACTGTAGGGGTAATTCCTACTGCCATCTGATTTAGGCAAAGAATTCTGATCTCACATCCAGCGGTAATTTTAACCTTAGGTATAGGAGCAAAAGTTACAAGTTAAGAAGCACAACCACACACTGCTGACCATCAGGAGCTTGGAAGGAACACAGTAAAAATGAGGCAAATAATATCAAACCTCAAGAAGAGATGAGAAAGAAAACTTGTCCCTTAAACAGTCCAGGACCTCAGAACTCTGCAGATTCTACTTTAATACCTCAGTATTGTCCTATAGCTAACGAGCCATACCACCTCTACTTGGTATTCTTCCTACAAGGTAGTAATGTTTGTATGGCTTATAATAAAATATAATCTAAAATCTGGTGAGTATCTGTCAGCTCTAAGTTTCTTGAAGCATAAGGGACCCAGCTTGAGGAGCTGCTGTTTTGGTGAAAACAGAAAGCACAGACCAGTGGCTGGAGTGAGAATAACAAAATGTGTATTTCAAAAATGTCATATAATGAAAGATTTTAATATTAATGCATTGGTAGCAACCACTCCAGTGCGAGCCAGTCAGTGGTTTACTTTAGGAAGTGATTTAAAAGTGAGGTGAGTACTACATCCACACAAAGGCAAAATAACAAACAGAATAAATATGCAATATGGAGGTGTAGGAGAGGAAAATAGAAAGCATCTATGAAAGTTCACTAGAGACCAAAGGATTTAAACCACATGGGCTAATGTGTTTGAGACTCAATGCCAGCCTGCAGCTCTGTTATTTTGATTCGAAAACCAGGAATATTATGTTAATCTACAGAAACATCCACTGAACCCCACTTGTTTTCTTTGATTTTTTTTTAATAAAGCTTAACCTGCTATACTTGATCTTCCAGTCTAAAATGGAACCAAAAAAAGGGCAGATGCACTCAAGTCTGAGCTCAAATTAGAGAGGACAAGCTTGTAGGTAATAAAAGGGGGGAAAGTATCACTCTATAGATGTGCCTCACACAAAGTCTGTTTTTACTACAGTGGTGGGTGAACCACAAGGTGTGAACCCACAGAGGCAGCCCCATATCTGAGAGGAGTGACTGGAGGTGCTGAGGTGGGGCATCAGGTGCTCAGCTGAACAGCCAGATCAGTAACAGCCACCTCAAGGCTGTGTTCAGGTATATAATTCCTGTTAAAGGCACAACACAGAACTGTTCCACATGACACAGAAAACAACTTGCAGCTGCTCCCAGTCAAGAACATAATTAGCTAAGCTATGGGTGGTTGACAGAAGCATTATTTCCTCACTGTAACTGTGCTGTTTGGGTACCTACCAGCAGTGCCTTTCTGCTGCATCACACTGGCATTACGTGCCTGTCATCAGGCCACACAGTTCAGCTCTGAGTCAGCATGACCAGCAGTTTGAACACCCAAATGAAGCCACCTCATGGAGGCCTGGTGAGGCAGCAGACTGAGGTCACAGCTGAATCCTCTCTGCCCCACTTGTTTTCAACTTGTTCCTCCTGGAATAGATTGTTTACTGGACAATTTGTTGTGATGGCTCTGTTGTTCCCTACTGAGGAGTAGCTCGGTTGCTGTAACAGCTTGAGCCATGTGGTTTAAGGCTGCACATCGAAGCCCAGGTTGGTCTTGTTTATTATCAGGGCAGCAGAACAGTTCTCACTTAGCAAGACTTGCTGTGACACTGTATATGGGGACAAGAAAAACACCACCAAAGCAGCTGAGAACTGCAGGCGTGCAAAATGCCCAGGGAGGTGGTGGAGCCACCGTCCCTGGAGGTGTTTAAAGAAAGACTGGACATGGCACTTAGTGCCATGGTGTGGTGTGCGTGGTGGTAGGTTGGACTCAATGATCTCAGAGTTCTTTTCCAACCTAATTGATTCTGTAAAAATGGCTCTGACAAGCAAGTTGAAGCATTCAGTGCTTTTATCCTACTAAGTGGATGAAAAGGAAGCGAATGAGGTTGATTTGACTATGCAGTAGGTAAAAGGATACCACACCCTAAGGAAGGTGCAGGTGATACATGCCTCTATGGGGTTTGGAAGGCTCCACCTAACCTGAGCAGTGTGGATGTGAGTTGGTTTCATTCCAGATCTCTTAATTGCATTTGCATGGTGAGGAACTCAGACTAACCATTTTATCTTAAACTTGGAATAGGCTGGGAACACACGCGTAGTCAATTAGAGCTATTCAGTGAATTAATGTGGGTTGGCAAAACAACTGGTTGCTTGTCTGCCCATATATTTAAATTCTAATGCCATTACTTACATGCCAGTTGAACTTTAACATCTTTACAGTTCAATACAAAGCGAGTGAGGAGTCTGTCAGTGCTGAGAACACGTTCTCATGAGAGTTTCACATACTTGTTTTGCTCTGTAGGAACACTAACCTGTAATTTACACAGCTGAGTCATTGTTCTGTCAACCTGGCTAAGTACAGGCTTACAAAGACAGACAATTGAGCTCACATCCGACTAGTGGTCTTGGTTGAACAGCCACAATGGGTTCTGCCATTTTTTGGTTCTTAATCATCTTTCTCTACAGAATACAATTATTTAAAAATGGGAGCTTGCTTCTGTTGATAAAGCTACATTTTACCATTTCTTTAGTCTTAGTGGCAAATATATTCCCATTATTTAGCATTTTACAATACAACTCTATATTATTTTTGGCTTTAGTATAACTGCCTGTAAGTACAAGCATTTTCCATAGTCACCCCAATCATGATTGCACTTTTTTTTTTTAAAGTAAATGGATGGCCACAGTTTATTCTTGGACCTCTCAGGTCAAGTTTTCCCATTGTGTTCTCTCTTCATTCTGTTTTCTCAATGCATATGAGGACATACACATTGAAACCTTTTTAAGTTCACTCTTTCCTGGTAAGAATGATGTTTGAAAGAGATTTCCATAGATAGAGAACTGACAGAGTGTGGCATGGGAGTAACCACGGTGCACCAGCTCATCCCACCCTTTGTGACCCTCTGCTGTAAACATCCACATGGAAAACACTTAGCACGCTTGGATAACATGGAAGTGACACAGTGTGCACTTTATGACTCTTCAAACACTCTTAGGAAAACAGACCTGTGTCCTTAGGGAAACAAATCCTCAAATAGATCCCTCATCTCTCAAAAAAAACCCCCAAAAAAACCCAAACTGAAAAACCAAAAAACCTTCCTCTTTGCTTTCAGCAGTGAGAGACCACAGGTGTTGATCCTTCCTGGCAAAAATAACTGGTATCCACAGCCCATGGCATAAAGTAGATGACAGTAGCAGCAAACAGTGGTTTCACTTAAAAAACTTACAAACAAACTTCTTGCAGTTAAGCTTCCATCAGGCTCCATTGTTTTAGCAGCTGGGTTTTCCTGCCTTTATGAGTCACCTTTTAAGTTAGGCACCAAAATCTGTGCTTCGTAATCATATTAAAATACATAATTTTTAGAGAGTCCCTTGCAATGTATAAAGAAGGCTGTAAGCTTAACATCTTGTGCAAGGCTTTGTCCAAGTGAAGAGCTGTTGTCCCATTAGTGGAGCAGAGAAAACCAAAACATACACAAGACTGTCCCAACTACAGAAGCACTGTTGCAAATTACTGCTCCGAGGAGAGGGTAGCAGACTGTTTGAAAAATCAAATAGGAGCCTTTCTGTAGAATAGCACAAACTTACAAATGCAGGTATCCTCCTTCAACATCTCAACTCCAGTTGGAAAGGGTAGAAAAACGTCAAACTTACCTGCTTTTGCAGTTGGTCCAGAGCGATTCATGTCACACAATAAAGCTTACACAAACCTTGTAAGAAGTAGTTATGTTGAAGCAACGTGAGGAAGCTTTTTATCTTGGCCATCCTGCCCTCACCTGCTTCCTTTTACAAGGGTCAAATTGTTAACACCTGTCCACTTGCCTACTGGGAATTCCTGCTCATTAGGATTGGGAGGGACATCTGGAAGTGGTTGTCAACCTGCTTGCACCCTGCTTGCACCCTTCAATTCCATAGCTTGTTAATAAATTATGATTATTCTTACACCCCATCCTACATTTATTTCCAGCACTGCAAGTGGAAGAGGAAAGAGAAATCAGATCCATAAACCCAGCAGAGCCAAGCAGCAGGTGTTTCTGTAACCACAGCAGCAGGACCAAGGTCAAAGCAGTCCTGCTGGAATGTGCTGGGATCCAGCACCGCAGCTCCACAACTGTTGTGTAAACACCTTCCTTTAGCATGACATCAGACTTGAGATAAACTTGAGAGTCATTTTTTTCTCTTCAGGATATAGGACCAGTTCTTCCATTGCCAGTTTTATAACGGGATACAGGCTCCTCTGAGTTCAAAACAGATTTGCTAACAATGGTTAGAAGCTGTGTGGCTGAGTGGAACTGAGCATTTCTTGCAGTAAGCCAGCAGACTAGACAAGATGTACAAGCTCATCCATCATAATGGCCATTAAGCACCCAAATACTTCTGCTGCAGCTTCATCACTTGCTGCTAGGAAACAGCACCGCTAATTTCTCCAAACTGCTTATTGAAAAATAAGCAACCATGAAAATGGGGGAGATTCCTTGGTCCTTCCACAATCAACTAATGGGCACAAACACTCACAGGGTGGCATAAATGAGCAAATATTTCCTTGTCAAGCTGGCAGGAAAAGATGGAAAATGAGGAATTCCTTGCCCATGACTGACTGCAGAACACCTGGTTTTCTCACACAAAGCTGTGCTTAAAACTGATTTTTCTCTGCTGTGGTTTCTGTTGTTTTCGTTGGGAAGTTTGTTGCATCAGAGCAAGGTGGCCTGATGTGTATATTTTGATGTAAGAGCAAGAAAGGCATTTTGACCTCAACAGAGGATCGTGTTTTCTTCTTGCTAACTTCTATGGACTGTTGCTTTCCTAATTTTATTCACAGTCCAGCCTGACTTCTTCAGACTCCCTTCACCTTCACTGGAAGTTAATTGAGAATGGAAATAATTTAATTGCTCAGTCAAACAGAACTGACTGTCCTCAAATGTGCTTAAGTGATTTGAGTAAGATCATACTCCAGTAGTTTAAAACATGTAAGAATAACCCTTGAAAACAGTTAGACTCAAATTCTTATATGTAGAAACTGATAAATGAAACCAGTTCCCCTGCCTGTTGAAGTGCTTCCTTAGCCCTTCTGTCTCTAGCTATCCAGTTTCCTCTTACCCTGTTTTTTCAGACCTGCCCATGCAGTTTTCAGAAGCAGCTGTATCAATACTAATTTATTGAAAAATTGTTTTGCAAAGAGCTAGCTCAGGTGTTTTTTTTGTCCATGACACAGCTAATTTGTAACGGGATGAGCTGCCAGGAATAACCAAGGAGATGGCTCTATCTGTGCTGATCCCGTTTGTTCATTCCCATGGGAAATTAGTTTATCTTTCTGGCATATGTCATTTGTAGGAGTCCATAGAAAAAGGCCATAAAATAGATGATTTTCCAATAGAGAAACACTTCCACTTCTGAGATTATTTAACCTCAGGGCAGAAGAAATAGGAAATGCTGACAATGCTCTGAGGATTCAATGAAGGTGAGGAAGAAGAATATAACAAAAAATGTTTGTTGTGAAGAATCGAGGAACTGTATTTTGGTTTTTTAAAAACACAGCATATTAGCATTTGAAATCAGTTTTAGAAAAGCCAAATGTCTACATGCAGTGATATAACTGCTAGGGATTGCTTAAGAGCAGCTGTCGCTCAAACGAGTGTTTTCTATACAAATCATTCTCTTCTGGGGTGTAAGAGCTGCCAAGATTGTGGTAGAAAATTGAACTTACTGTAACAGTGCAGGGGATAAGTCCACTTGGAGGGCAAAGAACCCGACCTGTGTTTTGGAACTTGTGTTTTAGGTGGATGTTAATATAAGTGTCACGTAAGTATCAGTACCTGATGTGTGCTTACTTCAAACTCAACGTGCAGCACAGCAGCCCTGGACTGTGTAACTGGGAGTCTCACCAGTTAGTGCTTCTAGCCTTTCACATTACACAGCTTGTCTGGGAGGAGGGACCATAAAATTCATGTCTTGTAGTAATGACAAAAAGATTTACTTTCATGAATGTTGCAGTGCTGGTTATACAGTAGTGTTTCTCACTGAGCATATGCAAATACAATTGCTTGCTTCCAGCAACATCCTTAGTCTGTGATGGTGGTTTACATTAGTGGTTTACAAATACTAGTATAGACTTAACTGTTGTACAGCAACAACGTGACTTTGATATCTTTAACTATGGCTGTGCTGCTGCCATTAACTGGTGTAAGCTGCAGACAAAAAAAAAGGCAAAGATCTTTTGTAGTTTATTCACCCAAGAGGCAAAGCCTCTAGGGCATGGGACAGCAGAAAATATCAGACCAGCTGTGAGATGTAACACAATTCAAATATTTTGCATTCTGCCAGGTAAACTGGTCCTAAAAACACACAACTTCTCATAACTTCTTATCCCTAATGGTCTTTTTACACATCTGTGGTAAGTGCCTGCCTATAAAAGAGAACATGTACTTTCTGAGGAACAGCTTCAAAAGGATTTTGTTGTGTACACACAACCTTTGCTGCATTAACACCCTTCAGTTCTTACCAGTACAGACTCTTGTAAGGTAGGATTAAAGAAGAAGTCCAGTTATAAAGCGTGGACGGGAGTGGGAGATCTGAGCCTAAAAGCATGAGAATCGGAATCAGTACAGGTTTCTCAGATGTAATGATTACTTTTACCACAGGTACAACTTCGTCCATGAACCCTCATTGATGCAATGTTTTGGTTTTTTTTGAAGGCTCACCAGCAGAGCAGAAAAGCAGATCGCTTGTTGGCAGCAGGGAAATATGAAGAAGCAATTTCTTGTCACAAGAAAGCTGCTGGTGAGTAGGTTATTTCTCACGTTCCAGCTGTTAAAATCAGTTCCTAGATTTGCATGCTCTGTGCCCCAAGCCTGTCTGAGCTCAGGAAGCATTTGGACACTGCTCTCAGGTATGTGGTGTGACTCCTTGGGTGTCCTGCCTAGGGCCAGGAGTTGGACCCAATGATCCTGATGGGTCCCTTCCAACTCAGAATATTCCGTGATTCTATGATTCTATGTAAGTAGAATATCTAGTTACATGCAGAATTTTTATTTTTAAAATGTGAGTTTGTTTTTCAGTCCAGATCAAGAGCCCTTTTGGAAACTTTTTTTTCTCATATGAGCAGCTCAAGTCAGACATTTCCATAGTTGTTTTGATTGGGGATGGTTATCACTGCGAACGCAGTTCTTGACTGAAGATGAAGCCAACACCTTGTGTCATGCACAGACTAAAGCTGGGTACCTGCTGTAAGCCAGTTTCACTTTACCCTTTGTATTTTCTTCACTGCTTTCATAGCTGAGGTCACCTGCTTCCCCTGCTAATAAAGGAAATACTTAGACAGATGTTTGCTTACAAAAGTTTACTTCCCTTTCCTGATGTCTGAATCAAGCAGCTGAAAACAGGTGATGAGCTCAGCTTCCCCAGAGCTCGAGCACAACAGCAGATTGACACCCTGTCCTGTGTGAGACCTTGTGCATTTACCTGTCCATTTAAATAGTCCTGCCTAATTATCTGTGTTGGAGTCCCTCAGCTCTCCGACAGTGCAGCAGCTACTTGGCAGAAGAAGAAAGAGGATCTCTTAATTGGTGCAAGAAATAGGATATTTTCAGTGACAGGGCTTTGAGGAGACAAAGTCTCCTCAAAGGAGAGTGGCTACTCTGAACATCATAACCTAGATACCAGGTCTTCTCACTTTCCATTCATAAATACTAGAAGTTAAAGTGAGAAACTGATAGTTTCTTTGGTTTTTATGAATACTCAGAGTGATCAGGGATAACACATTCTAATATGCAGACTTTTGGTTTTCTTTCATTCATATACCAAGACAAAACCCAGAAGGGCACTGAATGTTTCTTGGATTTCTTTGTCTGATGATTCTATGCCATTATCTTGCATCATTCCAAATTTGGTTAAGAATTTCTTACACCTTGTCATTTTCAGCACTAGCAAGATATGCTCAAAGTGCTTCTCTGACTCTCAAGCCAGCACATTTTCTGGTTTGGAGGAGAACTTGGGAAAAAAAGTGAGGAACTAAGGACCATAATTTTTCATTATGAATATAATTTAAAAGCATGACTTCATAATGCTGGTGTGCCATGGGCAAGAGGATTTTACTTATCACATTTTGTCATAAAGTGCTTGTATGCTAAAGGTCTGGTCCTTAGCTGTGTTCCTTCCCTTCATGGGAAAGCTATTCTTCTGGGACTTTCTGGAAATGGCTGTTGTCCTTCTCTGTAAAACAAATTTGAGCAACCCAGGCCAACAGGATACCGTGGAAGGGGTGTAGTGTGCGTTGCAAGACCTTACAGCAATTTTTCCTGACTTTTGAAAACCAGCAGGTGTTTCCAACCACCGTAACTCTGTAAATGCTTTGCCTCTAGACTGCTGCCTTTATGTGGGGGTTCAGCACACAGAAGGCCTGGAGCCTTTCCTTAGGTTTCATGGGAATGCTGAGGTTGTGCAGGCCGTGCTGACGCTGACCTGTTCTCTGTCCGCAGCGTACCTCACGGACGCCATGAAGCTGACCCGGTCGGAGCAGGTGAGACCCGAGTGCAGCAGCTGCCAGAACCAGCTACAGCTCCTGTGTGTCCCACTGTGCCCTCGCTGATCACACCCCCCTGGGGCGTTACCCTCTCCAAAGTTTTCTGAGCCCTTGGCAACTGCACCGGGAGTGTCACAAGTGTGGTAACACCGGTCTTCCTAGGGAGTTTTTCCAAGTTTATGTGGAGCAGGGACAAGAGAAATGCTAAGCCATCCAAGGGGTCTCCAGCTTTCTAGTCTGCCAGGCATCTTCAGGGAGGTGATAAAACTAGTTTCTTGTTTAGCTTTTGCTGTGAGGCACTTTGCTCAGACACAAAGCCGAGCGTCTCATCTACAGTCTGTAATTTTGGGTTCATTCATCCTGACTGGGGGATCTCCAGAACAACAGCCCTGACACCTTTCCTTAATCATCACACAGATCTGCCTGTGAATGTAGCAGTACAGTCTGCTCAGCACTGTTACAGCAGTAGGGTTTGAATTTAGCCATTATTATGAAAGCAAATAACCCTTGGAGATCAGGCCTCTGTCTTTGCTCCAAAGGGTCATTCTTTTGGAAAATGGTCTCTCACCCAGGTGGTTCCTGTGAGTTATTGTCTACCATGCCACCCCCTTCATTAAATATGGCTGAATCATTTGGGGCTGTATCTGGCCTTGGAGCAATTTGCTGCTTAGTTTCAGGTGTTACTGATATGTCTACACAGATACCATCACAGAAGCATACAAAAAGTTTGCATGGTTTAGCCAAAGCGTGGCTGTGCATGCCAGGAGAATCCCTTCCTTCCTGGTGCTGTTCACAGGTCGGTTAAACTCCTGGTGCCCCTGCTCAGAGGGGTTGTAGCCTGGTCAGTGACTTACAAACAAAAAGACCGGGTTTTTTGCTGAATTTGGGTGACATATCTGAATCTGTTGCATTGTACAAGCAGAGGGCAGTTCTTGCTCCCCACCCCCCAGCCGTGCTGTGATACTGTTCATGTAAATATTTACACACATGTAACTTTACCTGCATGAATATTCAGGTGGGATCAGGGATCACCCACTAAATTGTTTAATCTTGTTCTTACCCAGGCTCAGCTGTCACTGGAATTACAAAGGGATAGTCACATGAAACAGTTACTGCTCATCCAGGAGAGGTGGAAAAGGGCAAAGAGGGAGGAAAAGCTGAAGGCCCAGCAGAATGCTGATAAGGAAACAGCCACACACCTTCAGACTTCTTATAAGCCATCTGCTGAAGACTCTGATGATCAAAACATACTGGTTCCTGTTACTCAGAAATACAGCCCTTCCACAGAGAAACATTCGCAGGATATTCAGGGTGTCTTTGACAGGGACCCAGATACACTGTTGTTTCTGCTTCAGAAAAAAAAGGAGCCGGTGGAAGCATGTATTGGGAGTAAAGCTCCAAAAGATGACAAAACAATAATAGAAGAGCAGGCAACCAAAATTGCAGATTTGAAACGGCACATAGAATTTCTTGTAGCTGAAAATGAGAGATTAAGGAGAGAGAATAAGCAGCTAAAAGCAGAAAGAGCTAGACTCCAAAAATCTCCAGTAGACAAGGAGCTGGATGTAGATGCTGATTTTGTAGAGAAGTCAGAGTTGTGGGGTCTGCAGCAACACTCAGAAAGTACTTCTTCAGCTGCAACGTGGCAGAAGTTCGCAACAACTGCTGGGAAGGCAAAGGACATTCCAATACCCAACCTTCCCCCCCTGGACATCCCATCCCCTGAACTCCCACTGCTGGAACTCTCTGAAGATATACTGAAAGGACTGATGAATAGTTAAAACCCAGGAAAAGTGCTCAGTATAGTTACCCATACTTAAGAAAAGGGAAAGCCACCAGGACAGTGGTGATCTGAGGGCAGAAACATCTACCACAATCCTACTGTTGGAGAAAAGGCATTAAGCAACTCTGTTACTGTGAAATACACATCATATCTGATCTACTTCATGAGAGTTAAAGGTACCATAGTTGGTATAAGATGGTGAGCTCTTTTAGTCTTTCTCCCAACGTTTCAAACCAAACGACTGCCTGGAGAATGTTTCAAGTAACACAATCCTTCAGGGTTTTTAAGTATGCTATATATGTAATAGTTATCTATAATGCCATAAATGATGGTGCAGAACCTAACTGTTATGGTTGCCAGTCGGCTGCCACTTCATATTGAAAAATGCTTTCTAGCATGAATTTAAACTGTGCATTTCATTATGCATAACTTTGTTAATTCAGATACAGTGCAATTTATACACCTCCTAGATGGATTTATGTGCCACACTCAGTACTCCTGACCATGTTAACCTCAAGTCAGGAGAGATTTTAATTTCCATTCTATGAAGGAACCAACTTATTAGTTCTGTTGACGAGGTTTTTTTTGGGGGGTTATCTGTTTACATAACTAATCAGGGTGCATTGAATCTAGCTATTGGTTTCTGTATAAAGTGACATGGTTTAAAAAAAGAAAAACCTATACTTAAGGAAAAATACCCTTTTTGTTTTCAGTGATGCATGAATGGAAGTAATTCTAGCTGGCAGTATTTGATTGAAACAGAAATTGTTTACAGCTTAACCTGATTCAAAAGGATAGGAAAATAAAAACCAAGGTGTTTTGACACTAAACGTGTGTTAAATCTCTACAGATGTTGCAGAGTATAAAAACCAAATTAGTACTTGTACTAACAGCGTTAGTACACACGTACAGCTGGGCTTCTGCGTTCATCATCCAGCACATTTGAGGAAGCTGGGATGAATTCAGAGGGCCCAGCCCATCCATGAAGTGACCTGGCTGACAGCTGGGTTAGAATCATAGAATCGACCGGCTTGGAAAAGACCTCCGAGATCATCAAGTCCAACCCTTGATCCAACCCCGCCGTGGTTCCCAGACCATGGCACTGAGTCCACATCCAGTCTCACCTTAAACACCTCCAGGGACGGTGAATCTACCACCTCCCTGGGCAGCCCTGATTACTCTCTCTAAAAAATTTCTTCCCAATATCCAACCTACGGCTCCCCTGGCACAGCTTAAGACCATGCCCTCTTGTCCTACTGCTGGTTGCCTGGGAGAAGAGACTGCCGTCCACCTGGCCACAACCTTCTGTCAGGTGGCTGTAGAGTGAGGAGGTCTCCCCCGAGCCTCCTCTTCTCCAGGCTGAACAACCCCAGCTCCCTCAGCCTCTCATAGGATTCTCATAGGGTTCTTACACTGGAGCGTTCCAGGGGCAGCTCTGTGGTCCTGCCTGGGACGGGCCCCCTGGAGCCGCAGGAAGGGGCTGTGAGCAGGCACACCCACTGCGGGGCTGGGCCAGCTCTGGCAGGGCAGGGCAGGGCAGGGCAGGGCCTCCTCCTCACCCGCCCCTTCCAGCGGGCTCGGCCTCTGCCCTGGTACCTGAACGGGGCTTTCCTCAGGGTGTTCCCGTGGGTAGTGGAGGCCTTAGTTAACCTCAGCTGTTACTGATTATTGAAAAGTGTTCACTGTTGCAAGCTACCTAATTTTAAGTAATTCTTGTGCTGTTAAAAGGTGAGCTTGCTTTCTAAAGGTGCATTTTTCTTCCAGAATAGGCTTGGAAGTGCAGCAAGAACACCTTACTGCTGTGCAAATTGTCCCCTGGCCTCTGTATACCTGGTGTCTTCTGTGCTTGAAGGAGAGTAGGGACTGGAGGCTAGAAATGTCTATGGAAACAGAGGTAAGACGAGGTCATTTAGAGGAGGTCCCTCGTGCTGCATTGTAGCTGGAATCTAATCTTGCTGGGGAAAAAAAAAAAAAAAGTTGTTTTTCAGTTGGTGCAGTTTAGCAAATGGCCTCACAGACCAGCTGCAATGAGGTGACCTGTTCCAGGGCAGCCCCAGCTCGCTGCTCCCACCAAAGGGCAAGTCACAGTCTCTGCTGACACCTGCCTGGCTGGCTGTTCAGGTGACAAGGCAGAGCAGCACAGTAAGTAAAGCAAAGAAAGGCATGTGCTACAAGATGGAAATAAAGTGATTTAAGCAGCTACCAGGGCTGGTAGCTCAAGGCTGCAGACATTTCAGCGATCTCTGCAAAGAGCAGCTATAGGAGAAGGAAGCAACTTTTAGCCTGGCTACCTCTGCTAAAGAGTCAGGGTTCCTCAGAGGTGGGAGTATGGGACTTGCCAGCTCTCCCTTTTTGTAAGACTAAACTGTCCCTTCATGTATAGCTCCACAAACAAAACACCAGACCTGAAGGAAGCTGTGGGAAGGGTTGCCAAGTGGGGGCAAAACTCCACGCTGCCACTTTGGGAAAGTGGTGGTAAAACTTTTCTCTCTCCTGCAGTGCAAATGTTTGTTTGTTCTTGCAGTCTGCCTGCTCAACACGGGACTGCTGCTGAATCTCAACTCCGAGCAGTAAGGCTGAGCACGAGAGTGTTCCACTCCCGTGAGTGATGCTGAATTTTTCCAAGTAAGGAATTCTTCAGTCTGAATCCACACCTAAGCAATTACTCAGTGCATGGGAAGAAAGGTAGGTTGTACAGAGAATACTCACCACTAGAGGACAGGTTTTACAGATACATGGCAATAAACCTAAGGAAAGCCGTCTCCCGTGGATGTCAGCAATTAGTTTAAGCCCGAACAATTTAGGACTGGTTTAGGCGGTTACTGCCTTCCGGCCGCGGCCCCGCGGCGCTCGGCCCGGGCCCTGCTCCCTGCGCTCTCCGCAGCCCTTGGCAGCCCCCAGCCGGGCCCTGCCGAGCCGCGGGGACCCTCCTCCCTCCGCCGTGCCCTTGTCCTGACACCGCCGTGCCGACTGCCTCATTCCCTGGCCGGAGAGAGCCAGGACGAGGTGCGGTGCGGAAAATGCTGTGCAGGAGGTGACCGGTTGCAGCAGCAGCAACAAGTGGTAGGTAAGTCACTGGCGGTCACACAGCCTGGCACAGTTCATGGAAAGATTCCCATGGGCAGGGAGTCTGGGCTGCACTGTTTTACACGGGACAGAATTAAACACTCCTGTGGTCTGTCGTTCCAGTGTCTCACCAATTTTAAATACATGTCCAGACACTGACTTCTATTCATAGACTTCGCTTTGACCACAGAAACCATCCTTGTCTTGGAACCCAGAAATACTGGCCCTGTTGAATACAGCCAACATATGCTGTGCTGAAAGAAACTGTAATTACCCAATCTCTGGCTGTATCACCACAGAAAGAGAAACCAAAGAAAAGCAACTGGGAAGCAATGTGGAGTCTCTTGAGAATAAAATCTGCAGACTGCACCACCAATTGCTACTTAGAATGATGGCTAAAACCAAAATACAGAAGTGTTGGGTTTTATATTTTCATTTTATATAAAGGGGAAAAAGGATCTTGTGACGGCTTCCTCTGAGAGCATTTCCATGTTCAGGAACTCCAGCCTAGAACTCCTTCCTATGCCTGTCAACAGCAGCTCTTTGGCCATCTGCAATTCGTGTTGACCTGCCTTCACTGGCATGGACTACACCTCATCTAGGCTCCCCTTTCTCACAAAAGGTTGGACCAGAAGACCTTTCAGGACCTCTCCAACCTGGGCTTGCTTTACAGTTCTATAAAAGCAGACTCGAGAGCAAAATAGATGGAGAAAAGCAAGTACAGCCACAATGTTTCCTGTACTGAATTGGACTAAAAATAGAGCAGAAAACAAAATCAAACTGTTCCAAAGCAATTGGAGCAGTGGTGTCGCTGCCACAAGTCAGGTATAGGCTGGACATTATTTGCCAGGCTTTCCTGCCCGAGGATGTGGAGTTCAACTGTATAAAAAGCTCATTGCTCCCTCAGGACTCAGAGCTATGGCCATCTTTTCCTGCACCTCCTTTCTCTCCCATGTTTGTTTTCCCAGAAGTAACCTCAGCTTAACCAGGCTTTTTGTCTTGTAATCATCTGAAGTGTTCCCTCAGGCCCATTTGCTGCAGGAGTTCAGATATTATTGAGATCAAACAATATGAAATCCTTAGAGCTGTGAAAATACAGGATTTCCTGCCCCAGAGCTACTAAACCCTACTCTTTAATTTCACTAAGGAAGCACAGAGCTACGGTAAAACCACGTGCCCAGGGACTGGAAAAAGAAACAGGCATCTGGGTCAACAATATATTGTCTTGGTATGGTTGGAAGATACCAGAAATGTTCACTTTGAAACATGACAACAAAAAATCCTTCAGTCTACCACATACCTTTAGAAGGGCCCATGTTTAGAATGCAACTATTTGCACACAACACATCAGGTAAACGATGTCTTCACTGTGCTGTGAGACAAGATTTTCCTACCAGCTATATATAGATGGTAACTTCCTTTTCAAAACCCCTGAGAACAAATGAAAAAAGTAGAGAGGTACAGAACTCTGTGTGCTGCTAATGCTACCGGGCATTTGCTCCTTGGGCAGCTTCCTGGGCACCCTGCTGAGATGGGAAGAAAGGAACATGGTGGTGGATCCCCCAGGGCACTGCTGGGCCACACACCCCATGGGAACACAAAGGCAGGGAAGGAGAAGCTCCAGCCAACAAAGCACAAGTCAAAAGGCGGAAAGCAGGAGCGCAGGGCAGAGCTGACATTGTTTGGGGCAGAGCTGGGGGTCAGGAGGGGAAAGCACAGCAAAACCTCAGTCCAGGATCTCAACAGGGAGAGGCAGCTCATCCAGCGAGGATGTGGGGGAGAGCACAAACATCCTGCTCAGCAAAGCAGCAGAACAGGCCATGGTGGCTGTGGAAGGAGGAAGGAAGGGAAATTCCCAGTTCCAGGCACAAGGCAGGGAAGGCTGTCAGCTGGGAGAGCAGCAGAGGGGTTGACAGGATGTCACGGGAGAGGGTACAAACAGAATTACCACCTACTGAAAAGGTCAGGGAGCATGAGAACACAGAGCTGATCAGATGGGGGTTCTACTCACACACACAGATCTGAGCAACTTGTGTGAAGCTGGGGGAGCAGAATAAATAGATTTGCTAGTCAGACTGTTAAACAAACCCCTACATCTGACCTCTGTATCGGGGACCACTTCCCTGCCAGTAATTCCAGCAATTTCTGTTTCTGCTAAACCATACACACAGCAACCATCTGTGCTGAAACACCTCAGGTCATCACAGCCCCACTTCATTCTTTGCTAATTGCTTACTCTTCATTAGTTACCTCTGCAGTTCAATAGGAAGAACATTACTATGGTTGTTTACTGTAAGGCAGTGCTGAGGATGGAGGTGATGGTGAGGAGCTGGGAAGGAGGGGGGGTGAGGAGCAGGGCTCACAGTTTTGATGAGTTTGAGATGTGATCTCTCAAAGGACAGGAAAGAGTGAGTTTCATGGAGAGCAAAGCAGATGAAGACAGAGCTTAGTCTCAACGGAAAGGTGGCAAAAGATGACACATGGTACTTCATATCCCTGCTCTAGGAGCTGACAGCATTCCTGCACTCAAACAGCTTCAGCTGATCTCACTGAATACTTTTGGCTGTATTGAAATAGTTGAGACTGTAGATCAGAACCCCCCCTGAAAAGTCCTTCTGAAAGGAAGATGGGAAAAACATGCCTCACAGAACATGGAAATGGTCAAGAGGGAAAAAACTAACCTGAAAAGAAAACCCCTCCCCATAAACCCCTCAGGTCTCAGACATCAGCCATGAACCCCTCAGGTCACAGCC